AATTCAAATTTAATGTTTTTGATTTGTAGTTGTTATGAACTACGCATTGTTGTCTATGACAAAGGCACGACTGAATAAGTGATATGCTTTCTCGAGTACAACCATAAAATTGTAATTTATATTATGACAGGTGTAATCGAAGGCTTTAATGAGGTCAACAAACGTCGAACACACATACTGATAGTGTGGCGGAAATTCCCGCAACCTCAGTGCGACGTCGGTCATTAAAATTAAACATTTCAAAAAGAACAATGCAGCGGATTTTAACAAAGGATTTGCATCTCTATTCATTCAAGATTCAGCTAACCCAGGAATTGAAATGAGACAACCATTTAATGCGCTGGACATTCGTTAATTGAATGCTGGAGAATCAACAAGTGGACGATGATGTTGTTAAGATCATCTTTAGCAACGAGTCGCATTTTCATCTTAGTGGGTATGTGAACAAGTAATACTGTCGAACTTGGAGCAAAGACAATCATCGGGTCAGTCAAGAACGACCACTGTATACCCAAAGAGTGAGAATGTGGTGCGAATTTTACGCTAGTGGGATGATTGGTCCATTCTTTTTGTAAAATGAGGTTGGAAACGTAGTGATTGTCAATGGAGAACGATATGGTGAGATGCTATTGAACTTTTGTGGGCTTATTTGGATCGAATGGATTTGGATGACGTGATTCCAGCAGGATGGCAACTTTTTACTGTGGAAATTCGTCCAAAAGTTTATTCTGCTCAAATGAGTACCATTCCTGAATTAACCGCAGGAAATCGGAGAGTTATCATCGATTTCAGCCGCAGGTATGCGAAAGCGTGATACAGAATTTTCGTGAATGAGTCAGGGAGGACATATGTTCGATATCATCATTCATATTTAATGACAATGTCTACCATTTAAAAACCTTTGCCAACTTTTTAATTAATAAAATCTTTTTTTCTCATACGAAATGCGTTTCTTTTGGTATATCGTTTAGTTTACATTAATATTGGTAGCAATATCATTAACCAATAAATTAAAGAACGAAGGTCCCTTAAGGAGTACCAGATATTGCATAAAATTTAACAGGCTTGGAATTACCGAGAAGTTGTCTGTTTACGTCTATAGCCTCAGAAATAACATTGAATAAATTTGTGAGTGTTTCCTTTAATAAAACAATCTTGAGCACCATTACTACAATTTTTTTGAGAAGAATAATGAGCGAAAACATGTACACAGTCTTAAGTTGTAAAAGATGATATATCATCAAGACTTTTAGTGCACGTAGGCTTCAAACCTCGCAATGCCGGTAAAATACTTTCTAAAAAGAGGACATGTTCAGAACCAAAATGAGCTACATTCTGTGAGTCGTATATATATTTTTATTTTTTCAGGTAATAATAACTGAAATAAACCTACGGTCAAAATATAATGAATTAACCTGTACTCTGACACAAAATACAGAAACACGTAATGAATATCGCGCATTTCTCTAGACGTAATCCCTTAATCAGAATTTATAGCCGAAGCGGGTGGAGTAGCGTAGCGATAAGCTCGCAGCATAAGTGTTTCAGCATTTAATCCGCGACTAAATGACATATTTCAGTCTTAAACGTAAAATGCCCGAAATTATTCGAAACATAAGCGAACTCCGCTGAACTCCGTTAATCGCAGCTGAACCTGCGCCCGAATTTATTTACAGCACCTATTCAGAATTATTTTCAATAAACATTCTAAGGGAATAAGAATACAGGGATTCTTTAATACCTCAAGCTGCGTATCGCTGGGGGAGAACTTGATGAAAGCGGTCACAGGAAGGAGTGAGGGGAGGTCCCGGCGCTTTCCTCGTAAAAGGCGCCAACACAAAACATCTTCGCGACTCTCATCGCAAAATANAATTTATAATCCTCATCCCGAAAAACCCCCATATACGAAATTTCGACAAAATTTTATGAGTGTGGCAAAAGATATTGCAAAAAAACTGCTAATAAAATTTAACTTTAACACCCTCTAACTCCGTTAATAATCAGTTTTGGAAAAAATGTTATAGAAAGAGGTAGGATTTATTTTCGGTTTAGAATTATCCCCTGAATTTTTTGCTCATAATTTCCGGACACCCTGTATATGTCAAATTCATTCAGCAAAATTTTAATAAAATTATTAATTAATACGCAGATCTTTTAGAATAGAAAATTCACGAAACAATTATAATTCAACCAAATTCATTTGTTTTGATTTTACAATAGATTACAAAATTATTTTAGAAATTTTTACATGAGTTCTGTAAATTTACAGTTCTTAAAAAAAATCAGTGAAGGAAGTATTATTGGAGTAATACAGTTATTTAGGAACTAAGGATTTATTTTTAACAGAAGACAGGTCTTGATAAAAAATCCAATTCCAAAGATGTTTTTATTTATTAGTTCACATTATCATTCGGGTATCATTTAATTCAATATCTGAGGCAAACGTCCACTAAATGCACCCAGGACAATCCCAAAAGAGGAAATCATCAGTACTCTAGAAACCACATGCCGACGTCTTCCCTCAAGAAGTTACAACGAACATCTAAACCTTCGAAACTGAATCTATCCAATAAAGAAATCCAAGCCATCAAAAAACTGAAATAAAAGGAGGAAATTATTATAGTCCTGACCGACAAAGGAAATGTAGCTATCATCATGGATCTAGTGTTAAAGAAGTCAAATTAGAGTTCTAGTGGGAAAGACGGAACACCATATCAGAGGCTGGATATCCTGAATATTCATAAAAATGTGAACAATCATCACAGAAGACAAGGATGAGAAATTCCTCCCTTCTTTCTTTTTCTGAACAAATTGAAAGAGTGACGGTTTATCCTTGTCCTTAGCCTTGGCAAATATCTATTCTACATGGAAGTCTTCAACAAGAATGCCTGGAGTCAGTTAAAGCTAAGTGTTGGGTCAGATATGTTGATAATACATTTGTTATTTTGGGCCATGAATACCTATAACAGTATATTCCTGAACCACATCAGTGCGATATGTCCTGACATTATTTTTACAATGGAAATGGAAGAGAATGGTACCTCGTTTCTTTATGTCCTTATCAAGAGAAAACTAGGCGGCATCTTACCAACAACAATGTTTACTGGAAACCAACTCACATGGACAGATATCTGAACGGTGAGTTTAATCATCTCCCCATACCATGAACAAGGTTTTGACAACACATTCATCCATAGCATGCATCAGTATGCGATGAACTAGTGCACACATAATATAAATATAAGACAGAAGACTTAATTTCCAGTTTCAGGTTCTCCTTTGGGAAAAGAAGTCTAAACCGACAATGTAGCAATCAGCCCAGAAATTGTTCAACCACTAACAACTGCCAGGGAAGACTGCAAAGCAAGCTAAATCGATTCATTTCGACAGTACATCAAATCATTTGACTGGACAACATTAGAAAATGGTTAACCAATTCTTCCTGAATAAGTATTTTTCAATGTACGGCAAGTAACGTAACATTTACAAAATGGGGTTATGACACATTATTCTCTGCTATGTAATAAAATTTAAATATTGAATTTCCTGATAGGTCGATAAGACACGTTGGTTCGGTTCCATAGCCTTTTCGTTTTCCGGACTTAAATCCTTTAAGTTTACTTCAGGCGATATTTGAAAAATTTAGTAGCACTGGGGATTTACTAGTAATAAAAATTTTGGTACTATCATTTTGTGTCAATTAATTTATAGATGAGCTCCACCAACGCCACTGCCTTCAGCAACAAAAAAAGTAGAGAAAGAGATGTGGAAGAGGAATAGGAGAATGCAGTACCCTCAGCAGCGCAAGCTACATCGTTCGCACCATTAACATTGTCAGAGTTGACAGCGATATCATAGAAACAACAAGGAATTAGTTCAAAAGTAGCAGCAGGAGCAGTTTTTGAAAGACGTATGACAACAACGTAAAAAGAGAGATACAGGCTATAACGGATAATAAAACAAATGGACTAGTAGTTACAATAATAGATCGAAAAAATGTTTTATCCGTATATTTGACATGCAAGTCCTTGGGTTTCATCGAACTTGATATCCAATTTATCTTCATTATGACTTTCATGAAAATATCTCCCAAACTTCAATTTCGTTAAGAATTATTCACATAAATTATATTCCTATCAATTATTCTCTCTTTTTTCACAGAAAGCTGAATTATATACTTATTGTGTTACTATGCAATAATAAATTACGACACCGTCATGCCACTGCGAAATACAATAGATAGAAATTGAAACTAAACCATCTAGTCACTGCTACCAATATTTTTTTGGAACAAGTGCATTTAATTATGCACAGTCGAGCCTAATTCGCAATAGCAACATTTACAAAATCCAGGAGCTAGAAGTTCGAACTAACATTCTAGTCATTATCGACCACATCGGATTCAACTGAACTGGGTAATGCTAATAATGCTCAGCTGAGATTAATTTACACTGGCACAATACCTATTATATTTATAATTTGGCTAACAGAATTCCAAACTAACCAGTTGGTCATTGGTGACAGTAATTTCAGATCAATTCTGAGAACTGGTTGTATGATTTCCGGGCTGGTTGCCACGTCGTCGATTTGCAACTCCTGACGTTTCGAGAAAGATATCGCTCTCTTTTTCAGAAGTTACTATGAAACTGGAGATCTACTAATCTTGTCACTACTTATATTTGATGTGGTCACTGACACATGACGTTCCGGTAGGTGACCTCGTACGCGTTGTTGGCATTCCAGTGGCTTGCTTTCACGGATAACTCTCTGCCACCTGGCAGATCCACGCCACCGTCCTTATTGAAGTTGTTTTTGTACATTTCTAATGCCTCTCTGTATAGTCGGGGTAAAAATTTTCTCTCTCTCAGCTCCATGTTGGCTTCACTCAGATCCACTGTGTGTCTCATGTCCGCCCTATGCTACTGCCGATTTTTCCGAGTTGTTATTTTTGAGGTGACTTTTGTATTCCTTAACCTCATATTGATGTGCCTTCCTGTTTATCATATGTAGACCTTTCCGCAAGAGCAAGGAACACTGTATACACCGGGGCCCTGGAGCTGGTCGTTGTTGCAGGTCTTTGGAAACGCTGCCGTCACTTTCTTTACAGGGCTGAATACTGTGTTCATCTTCTTCAAAAGATGCCTGATTTTATCTATACAAAATTTCACGTAAGGTAGATACGTCGTCGCTAAGTACTCTCGTTTCTCCATGGACGTATGTTTCCTCCTGATGGCTCGTTCGATATGTAGCCATTCCCTCTCAGGGCTGTGTGTAGGTGTTCTAGTTCCTTGGCCAAGTGTCTTGGCTCGCTGATCCGCGCTTGATGAATCAAGGTATATATGATCCCCTGTTTCTGGGCTGGATGGTGGTGGGACTCCGCATTCAGATATATGTCTGTATGAGTTGACTTCATGTATACTCGATGTCCTAAAGTGCCATCTGGTTTCCTTTCAACCAAAACATCCAAGAAGGGAAGGGCTGTATTATTCTCTACTTCCATGGTGAACCGGATGTATCTCATTGATGTGATCCAGGAAATCCCCTACGGTGTTGTGTGCCAGGTATATGGAAGAGAGTCATCCGTGAAAGCAACCCACTGGAACGTCATGGATCAGTGACCACATCAAACATAAATAGTGACAAGATTAGTAGATCTCCAGTTTCAGAGTAACTTCTGAAGAAGAGAGCGATATGTTTCTCGAAATGTCAAGAGTTGTACAAACAAAATTCTGAGAACTCTTCGGCTATCTATAACGGTCCACCTAATCTTTAGTCACTTTAGATGGGCATGCCATTGAAACGGTAACACGGAATTCTGCTAGTTAAACTACTTATGAAAAAGAAGTGAATGATGTTCATTAGTCTCTAATTGAAGCTGCATCACAGACTATTAGAAAACAGCAGGATAGTTCTACACGGCACTTTTATGTACACTTTACACTTACAGAAATCTGAAGGAAAACAGCAAAAAACATGTTTATTTTAATTATCAAGAAATTTTATTGCTACTCCACTACATAATCTGTGTTTGACGTTAAATTATTATTCACCTTTCAGAGCTACGATCATGAGCTTGGATATTATTTTATAACAAGATGTGACATTGCTCCCTCTGCTCTAGTGCGTACATCTACATTTATTGTCTAGAAAGTCATAAAAATTTTCAATTAAGGCCCTTCCTTACAGAGGATAAATTTTTATCGACGTCCTTGAGATTCCATTTTATTATCCTTCAGGGTAATTTTACTCCGTAAGTGAGCCGTTAGTATGATATATGACAAGGGTGTACTTGAGGATGTCCTGTAATTTGTTCGTTCTTAAAACGCTTTTCAGTTGCTAGCAAAGTATATCTACATTTTTTTTGTATCGGTTGTAATTTCCGTCGTATAACACTCGTTTTGCTTCGTTTGGCAAACATTTTATTTATAATACGTGAAGAGCAGGTTCTTTCATACCTTAACGAAATATGCCCGTCAGACAATAGGGCCGTCTAATATCGAGATGTACTATTTTTTTATATTTCAAAGAAACGCGAACGGTAAGTAATGTGCAAACTCTTTTGTGAGATGTCTACAGGCCTAAGAGCAATTTGCAACAATGTGAACATTTTACAATGTTCAAATCTAATGATATATCCATCATGTGCATTGTAATGAGGATAACATGTTTATCCTCCAGAATAAGTCAATTGACAACATGTTCCTTCATAAAAGGTGTTTTGGGAAAGGTGTCATAAATTCAGGGCGCTGACAGAATATCAAAAAAATTTACGTGTTTGAGACACAGGGAGTCAACTGCGTCAAATATCCGCGTCCTAAAATTACATTTTGGCCATATATGTTGCCAAAATAATATAATGCGTTGAAATTTTTTACGAGTAAGTTTCTATTGATGTTAAATACGTCATCATTACTAATTTTTGACCAATTGCTATCGACGAACCTACTCAATGACATACGACACATATTTTTTATTTCTTAAATTTTACATAAAAAGTATACTTGCTGAAATTATTGAACAATTATCTTCGAAAAATTGCAAATTTAGTTTATCTCACTGTAGATGATTAGAGACTTTCGAATTATAACTTTTAAAATAAATTATAGTTAAAATTTATAATGAAACTCTCAAAAAATTAGTTTATTCGGAGTTATTGTACAATACTTATGAAATTTACTAATTTTAGGAAAACTTGCATCAGACTAAAGGCAAATTCTTCAATTTTCATCATTTGTAACTGCCTGTGTAATTATGACAAATATTTACGTTATACATTGGAAGACATGCAAAGTCGTACAATTTAGTATTTCATTTTATTGCTAGGGTTCTCCTGATTATCTTGTGTATTTAGGTTTTCGTTAATTTTTGGTGCAACTTTCAAGTGTTTTGTCTTTTACTCCGATATACAATTTTTTTTATAATATCATTTTTAGTTGAATTAAAAAGTGATTACTTAAAGAAGCAGAACAAATATTTTATCCTAGGAACAAATGGCAGGTAACACAACACAATAAAATAAGAGAGCTGTACACGCCTAAAAAGACAAAAAAACGAGTGGACCGACCACGGAGGGGAGCCAGGATGAAACCATTTCTAATCGCTATATTACGTTGTTGCGAACAAAAAACATTAATGACATTTTTCTGTATTATTGGTCAGAAATTTGTTATTAACAAAAAAAGTTGCAAATTTGCGAAAACTTAAAGAATCCATATGAAAATTGGTTATGTATTTTGGGAAAAAATAAGCACTTTTTAACTCTTGTGATTTTTTCGAAAAAGCTTTGTTTTCGAGCTACGAGCGATTTCAGGTCGAAAAATAACCAAAAGTCGTAAATTATTACCTAGACTGTATGCGTTATTTATGAAACATCCATCAATAAGTTTTGACATAAGCCTACTTTGAGAAAAGTCACTTATTTTATACACCGTAATATTGTAAGAGTTTAATAAGTCTTTTTTCTCTAACAAGAGTACATTATTTTTAGAATATAAAATTTTACATTACAAATTGCACTGGTAAAAAACCCAACCTTAAAAAAATTATAACTTAAACTGTAATAGGAATATAGCATAACTAACGCCGTCTATGAATAGCCAAAAAATAATTAGACCAGCGTATTTGGCATCCTTAAAAATCCCGGAATACCAAATTTTATAAAAATCGTAAATATTCTATTTAAAACATTTTATTTTGTCGCTCTATATCTCGAAAACAAAAGGAGATAGACATAATATAGTTCATAAGACAAAAAATTCTTATTTTTTGTCGTACTATCACCCGTTGTATTTACGGGAGGTCTTTCTGTAATACCCCGTATAACGTAACACTATTCTATATTGGGACCAGAGAGCAACTTTCCGGAAAAATTGGGTATGGAATAAAATCAATTTTTTCCCCATAAAAATTGAACATTATTAAACTCCGGTGTATTAAGATATCTAGCCACTACGTTTCCTAATATAAATAATATAATTTACAATTTTCAATAAAAAATTAATCCAATTTCACTTTTATAAGAAGCTGATAAAGATTTTGAATATGTTCAAAATAATTATGGACATGTTACTTTGGAATTAGATGATTTAGATGCATTAGATATATATTCAGAAAACTTAACAATAGTATGCTCACAAATGTTTAAATGAACCCCCGTTTAACGACTACTAAAGATGTTCTTTAAGACATGTTCCGAGCCAGCGCAGAAGCGGAACAGTAAAAAAAAATGAACTTAACTTTAATAACAGCTTTATTAAGTTGTTTTTAGTATTTCGGTGTAAATGGGCATTAAACATCATTTCCATTCCCATATATTTACTTGGTCTATTTTATATTACTTATCCATTTTCTTATTTTGAATGGGAAAATTCTTGTTTTCTGCTTACACGCTTAAAAATTTGAATTTAAGAGTAAAATATCAGTTTTATGAATTTAATCAAATAGACGAAAGTACCGAACTTTCCAGTTGTCAACAGAATTGAGTAAATTGTAACTGTAATAAAAAAATCAGTTTAATATGTAAAGTAATTGAAATATACAATCTGTTCATAATTACCGGTTTATAAAATGGTACATTGTTTAAAAGCACGCATAATGCATTTTTTATAATAACTACCAAGCAGTAACGTATAATATGCATAAATTGAACTGCTGTTTTAGAAATTTACGAGAGAATGTTTATCTTGCAATAAAATATGATTTATGGCTTCATTATATAAGAAATCCATTTCAGCGCTTTTCCGAGGAAAACATGGTATCAAGTGCATATAGAAGGCGAACCGAGGCATGTATATGGTTTTAAGTGATTGAGACAACAGTATCTCACTATTTTCCAGGCGCCTGAATGTATATTAGAAATGTATTATATTGTTTATTACAATTGACTTTATGCAATGCACGGAAATGAGCATTTTACTGCATTATTTTCTTTTAGTATTGAGTGACATGTCTTTTCTTTGAGAAAATAGGATTTGTAATGGATAAAGTGTAAAGTAAGTACAAAAATAATGAACTCCCACCGAATCATGTCTTTTTCAAATTAAACAACTTCCTGGAAAAGTTTCAGTATCTCATTATAGAAATAAAAGGCGGCAACCAAAAACTGAAGACGCAATAAACCCACACAATTATTTATTCGCCTTGAGCCATTGAAAAAATTGCCTCTTAATTAAAAATCTAATTTTTGTAGAGGTAAGACGGTTAATCACCTTAATTCTAATTTCACGAAAGGTTTCAGCATCGCTTATCTTCTTTAAATAATGTTCACATAAGTGAAGGAGATTTAGTACATAAATCACATATAAAACTGGAAAAACAGAAAACAAATCAAAAACAAAATATATTTTAAATTAACAATGTGCATTGAAATATACAGATTCATTATGGGTACCTATTTAAAAAAGTTGCAGTGATTTGGCAATATTTGAGATATCGCGGATGTGATTCCAGTATGGGGGAAACATCTCAAATATTTGATACATATTCCATTGGAAATGACATATTCAGGTCATAGACTGTCCTCTTTCTCTATAAGCTGAAACGTAGGTCGACCTAATCACGTTTTTACGTCATGAGGAGCCCTGCTATTATTGTTGTACTTTTTTATTTTATGTAGGGATAGTAGCCAAGTCTATAGTTTAATAAATGTAGCTTCGTTTTGTTCGCTTCATGGCTTTCTCACTAGTATCTATACTCCACTTGCAGTGATAACTCTGTTGCGCTTTAACTTTATTCAGGTTGCCACTTAATACTGTAGTAGTAGAGTAAGACTGTATACCGCGTGGCCCAATTAAAACAGTCCACTTGAAATAATTTCAGTACAATAGATTTAAGATTCTTGAAGAGGCTACCGCCCCATTTGGGGTTGACCTCCATGAATTTATAATCAAAAAATGTCCCCCTTGAAAGCAAAATCGACCTGTTTCGGCGTTTTCGGGAAAAAACCTGTTGCATTGAAAATATTTCAGGTAGACTGTTTTAATTGGGCCACCCTGTATAACA